TCTCTCCTGCACAGCAAAAGAAAAACCTCAACCATCAGAGCGCAACCAGGCAACCTACAGAAGGGAGAACATTTTTGCAACTCGTTACTCATCTTGACAAAGGGCTAACTATCCGAACCTAACAAAGAACTCAACATAATTTCACAAGAAAAACACCAACAACCCCATCAAAAAGTGGCGCAAAGGATATGACACACGACATTTCTCAAACAAGACATTCATACGCCCGAACAGACACCATGAAAAAATGCCTCATTATCACTGGCCATCAGAGAAATGCAAATCAAAACACCAAATGAGAGTACCCATCTCCACCAGTTAAATGGCAATTTCATTAAAGTCAGGAAACAACAGGTGCTGGAGGAGGATCGCTGGACGACAAACACTAGCGCGCACTTTTACACTGTTCGGTGGGATTGTAAACTAGATTCAACCGCCGCCAACACAGCTCATCGGCGATCTCCTCAAGGATCTAGAAACTAGATGTACCGATATGACCCAGCATCCAATACTGGGTATCCAACCTACCCACAAGGACCTCTATAAATCACTGCTGCCTATCACACCGCCCAGCATCGCACCCACGTACTCTTCCCTCTCGCGCACCACTCATCTCCACAATAAGCAAAAAAGACTTGGAATCAACCCAAACCCGCTCATCCAGTGGACAGACTCGGATTCAACAAAATGCCTGCACATACTCACCCATGGAATCACTCCCCTGCACGCCCATTCAAAACAGCGCTCGCAGCTTCTCTGCCTCCGCTCTCTTCGCTACCGCCGCACACTGGCACTGCAGCTGGAAACCATCATTCTCCACACACCACTCACACGCAACACAACACAACACACGCTCGCTTCTCACCTCATAGGTGGCACTCGACCACACCCGAGCAACTCACTCTGGACTCAGGCAGCCGCGCCAACATCCACAACACACCCCCGGGCTACTCATCACCCGCGCGCACCGCGCGCGGCGGCGGCGCGCGCCCACGCACTCTCGCGCACGCTTCTACCCGCACTCTCCCACTCACGATTTCCGATTGCGCGCTCGCGCACACACACGGCACAAAGCATCCCCACTCACCTCGTACCCCAAACCTGCACGCTTAATGCACAATGTACCTACATCTCTAAAGTATAATAAATACATAAATAAATTAAAAAAAAAAAAAAGAAAGAAATTGAGAAAATAATCCCATTTACAGTAGCCACAGTCAAAATTAAATATCTCGGAATAAACTTAACGAAAGTGAAAGATGTCTACAACGAAAACTACACAATGCTGATGAAAGAAATGGAAGAGGGTACAAAAAAATGAGAAGATATTCCATGTTCATGAATTGGATAAATTAACATTGTTAAAATGTCCATATACCCAAAGCAATCTATAGATACAGTGCAATCCCTCTCAATATACCAATGACATTCTTCACAGAAATAAAAAAAAAAAATCCTGAAATTTTCATGAAACCACAAAAGACCCAGAATAGGCAAAGCTGTAGTGAGCAAAAAGAACAAAACTGGGGGAATCATATTACCTGACTTCAAATTATACTATAGAGCTACAGTAACCAAAACAGCATGGTACTGGCATACAAACAGACACACAGACCAAGAGAACAGAAGACAGAACCCAGAAGAAAATCCACACACCCGTGAACTCATTTGTGGCACAGGTGCCATGAACATGCATTGGAGATAGGACAGTCTCATTCATAAATGGTGCTGTGGAAGCTGGATATCCATACACAGAACAATGAAAAAAGACCCCTATCTCTTGCCATATACAACATTCAAATCAAAATGAATTAAAGACTTAAATCTGAGACCTCAAACTATGAATCCACTACAGAAAAACATTGGGCAAACCGTCCAGGACATTGAACTGGCAAGGATTTCTTGAGTAATATCTCACAAGTACAGGCAACCAAAGAAAAAATGGACAAACAGGATACCATTAAGTTAAAAAGCTTCTGCATAGCAAAGGAAACAATCACCAATGCGAAGAGACAACCCACAGAATGCGAGAAAATATTTGCAAGCCTTCCAATTGACAAGGGATTAATAACCAGAATATATAAGGAGCTCAAACAACTGCATAGAAAAAGAAATCTAATAATCAGATTTTAAAATGGGCAAACATTTCTCAAAAGAAGACATATGAATGGCAAACAGGCACAAGAAAAGGTACTCAACATCATCAATCATTAGATAATGCAAATCAACACTACAATGAGAGGCTGGGCATGGTCACACACACCTGTAATCCAAACACTTTGGGAGGCTGAGGTCGGAGGATTGCTTAAGACCAAGAGTTTGAGACCAGCCTGGGAAATATAGTGAGACCCTGTCTCTAGAAAACCAACCAACCAAACAAACAAAAAAGACAATGAAATATCATCTTACCCCAGTTAAAATGGCCTTTATCCAAAAGACACGCAATAATTAATATTGGTGAGGATGTGGAGAAAAGGGAATTTGCGTACACTGTTGTTAGCAACGTATATTAATACAAGCACTATGGAGAACAGTTTGGAGGTTCCTCAGAAAACTAAAAATAGAGGTACTATATGATTCACCAATCCCACTGCTAGGTCTATACCCAAAAGAAAGGAAATCAGTATATTGAAGAGGTATCTGCACTCTCATGTTTATTGTAGCACTGTTTACAATATTAAGACTTGGAAGCAACCTAAGTATCAACCAACAGATGAATGAACAAAGAATACATGGTACATATACACAATGGAGTACTATTCAGCCATAAAAAAGAACGAGATACTGCCATTTGCAATAACATGCATGGAACTGGAGATCATTATGTTAAGTGAAATAAGCCAGGCATAGAAAGACAAAGTTCACATGTTCTCACTTATTTCTGGAAGCTAAAAACTAAAACAATTGAATGGGGATAGAAGATAGAATGGCTGCGAAGGGACTGGGGTAATAGGGGATGGTTAGTTAATAGGTACAAAAGTATAGTTAGAATGAATAAGATCTAGTATTTGATACCACAACAGGGTGACTACAGTCAAAAATAATTTATTGCACATTTAAAAATAACTAGAAGAGTATAACTGGATTGTTTATAACACAAAGAAAGGATAAATGCTTGAGGTGATAGATATCCTTTACCCTGATGTGATTATTATGCACTGTATACCTGTATCAATATACCTTATGTGCCCCAAAAATATATATACCTATTATATACTCACAAAAATTAAAAGTTAAATAAAATACAAATGGCAAATGTGGTAAAACTCTGGCAAAAATTCCTATGTAGATGTTCAGAATATATGAGAAATAAAATTATATCGACTAGATCCTATGTAAACTTCAAGGATTCCCATTTAGGTAGCTGTTGCATTTTTGTAACAAAATATATTACTTTTACTTGACATTCCTGGGTTTTTTACATTTCTTCCAGAATTATCAATGACTATCCATCCCTCCACAGTAGTAATAATTACTGATGTAGATGTCATACAAACTTATTATTATAAATTCAAGAAAATTAAACATAACCTAGAAATAGTCAGAAGTCAGAATTCTTACCATCTGTTGTTTTGTCAATACATCATTGTAGATTGCTTCTCTTCGTTTAACATCAAGCTCCTGGCTGGCTTGTCTACTTAATGCTAACGCCTGTACTTGGGCCTCTGAGAGATTCATGTTCTCCTTCCACTAAAAGAAAAATTTTCTATTTACTCCTTATTACTGTACAATTGAAGAAAAAATAATTAAAGTATTTTAAGATATTTGGGATTTTCCAAGGTCCCCCCCGCTTTCCTTTATTCTTTTCTAAAGAAAAGCATGATGCAAAACAGGGTATTAAGTTGTTCACTGCTATACCTGGGCTGGCTATCTCTGGAATGAAACAATAATTTAGATTTAATTTGTGCAACTGGTAATTAAAATGTTTATGTAAACAATGCATACATTTCCATGTTTGATTTCTCAATTCTTACATTTTATCCATTTCTCTTTTGTGCCAACATCTATGTAAAATTGCTGGGTTACCGTTTGGCACTATTATCCATCCATTTTACCAGTATTTTACTATTGCAAATCAATTTATAAGATGGAAACAATTAAAAATGTTTAAAAATGGCAGTAGGGGGTAGAGGGCACAAATTTGAGGTTGGAATAAGACAATTGCCAATTAGCTTACTACAGCTGAAATTATATCTTCAAGAGGTTGAATCCTCACTGCTGTCACACTGTTTGTTGCTTCTACAACTTTTTCTCTTCCTTGATTAATGAGGTCCTAGAAGAATGCAAGAAATAAGTTATATAAGGCAGAAAGACAGCATAGTGTTAAAGTATAGGAATCCTTCCATTTGCCAATTTATAGCAGTTGGTTTTAAAACTCTTTAAATAATTGAAGAGAACAGAAAAATTCAGTATCAATAAAGTGGAATAAAACATACCAATGCTCAAAGAGTCTTGTTAGGAAGATTAAAAGTTTGAGTTTTATCACACCAATAATTTAATAATTTAGATGAATCCATAAGCACATTTTATAATGTGTTTCAGATTCAATTAAGTCATTACTGGTATAATAAAAATCCAATCTTTCCTATTTAATTTACAATTGATTCTAGCTTTAAATCATTTATTTCATAATATTGGGCATTATATATTTAATTGTACATCTATAATGCACTTGAATAGAAATTAATGAGTATATTTATCTTACTTTCAAACAGTAAGATAGCAATTTATTATAAATATTTTATAACTGAAGAAGGTGCTACTTCCCAAGCCAGTCAGCAGCCCTATTGTTTCTTAATTAAAATAATTCAAACTACATTAATTCACCGACTGATTCCTTTGTGCTCTGAACAAACCACATTTTACAACATTATGTTGGTTCAAAACAGTCAACAAATAAAATAAAAATTTATTGGTCTATTCAGGGGTAATCTTTTGGAGAATGAACCCTCAACAACAAGGCACTTGAAACTGCCTTTAATTCATGTTAAACTACTTTTGTACTTCACAACTCACCTCCAGCTGTTGATTACTCATTGCTGACAGGGCTCCCAAATTGAAAGGAATATAAGGAGTTTGAGAGTTGAAACTGACAGGGGGTAAATTGGTCCCAGTTGGTATGTTGAAACGCATGGTCAGTCCCTAAAAACAAAAAAATTACGCACTTTTCACATTGTGATTTAAAACTTGAAATTCTACATCACCTACTGGTTTAGAAAAGAATCCACATTCTCAGATCCAGGAAATTATTAACACTCTTCCACACACAAACAAAACACCCTTTTCACCCGAAACCAAGATCTTATTACATGGAAAGTTTTAACTCCTAAAGGTGTACTTTTTTTAATGATAATTCCCACAGAATGGGGGCAACTCAAAAGAATTCTGATGAGACTCTGAACATCACATTAATGTTAAAGAGGTTTGGTACAATAAGTTAGGAGTTTGAAAAGGATTCAGGTATTAAGATAAGGTTTCTCATGCTCAGGCACACTTTTGCTCAAGTGGGTTAATGTTTAAAACAGACATAGAAGGATCTTAAATAAAGCTGCTGCTGGAGCAAACGGCATTAATTTCTAATAATGAAATATTTTTGTGTTCTGATATTCAGCCAAAATTTAGATTTCATGGTATACATGCAAAGCTACATTTACTACAACCTCCAAACACTAAGCTCCTATATGTTTGTTACTACAGAGAGGGTACTGATGGGAGGTTCGTGGTGCTAAATATATGGATTCCCACTCATCTTGCAATTCAACAAATACTAACCACAAATGGGGTTACTACTCTTTAAGTGTAAACTGTTTTCTTCTGTCTCCTCCTCCTACTCTACCACCAAAGGTAGCTGAAACCAGCCCATAAAGGGATTCTTGTAACTGGGGACTGTGTTCCTAAAACCCACTATATTATTATTACCTGTTTCAAATGTGACCCTTTTCTTCTTCATTGCTCTTTCAAATCACTAACATAACAAAAACGAAAACGCATTTTGCATCAACTACCTTCTTCTCTGCTTCATACTCAGCCCAAGCTGCTTTTCTTTCTTCTTCAGTCAACTCTTCTTCTTCTTTGTGGTCCAAAAGAGAATCATGTTCATGATATCCTACAATGTGTTCCTTATGTATCTGAAGGAGTTCTGCAAGTATGGTATCCTGTTTAGAGGGGTTGAAATAAGAGACAATTATTTTTCCCCTCTGGATAGTATAATACCTCCATAGTTCTATGGTCAACTGTAATAGAAACTAAAACCTGATTGCTACATATATATTTCTGATATATATGACAGATTACCTAAAAAACAGCAACAAAATATGTAACACCAGTCTCTTATGTAAGACTTTCATGTTTATACAGTATGTTTTAGGCATTCAATTTTTTTTTAATTACTAGTTTTCAGATTTCAAGGTCCTTCCACCAACTTAACATTTTTTTCACATGCATTTTATTTTGTGCTTAATTCTGAGTTGATAAATGCTAACATAAGTCTGCTTAAATTAGTGATGATATTGGATGCCTGTGCTAGAAATCAAGGCTATTCCTATTTATACATAATAAACAACTTTATTTTCACAATCATTTTAGCTGCCAACCACTATGTTAACAAAAATCTAATCTAAATTAATCTAAACAGTTATAGGACAGTTTAACTGAAACATATAGCCCTTATACTTCAACTGCAGGAAGGTCAAATGTTAAATTATACTGTAAAGACCCATGGGTCAAATTTAAATTGATACATTTTTTGATTTATTATCATAGTATATATATTTTAAAGAAATCATGTTATCTTAAGCCAATCTTTTAAGATTATAAAAAATTCGGATCATTTATATACTCAGTAAGAACACTAAACTCCTGCTCTGTGTAATTATGACTCTGAGAGTGAGACACAGAGATAGATGGGGTGGGGGTTTAACGTGAATTACAGATACGTTACTTTTAATAAACTTAAAATATTCACAAGTTGTTCATTAAGAAATCACATAAGAAAACCTGGATCTATAAAAGGCAAATTAATTCACTTTACAGAAGGATTTTCCATAGCTTTTAACAAGTTTTCCTAGAACACACTTTCTAAATTGAGTGTGAATTTAGTGAAGGGACATAATTACTGATCAAATGAAGGTAGTGGAGGTACATATATAGCACACTGATTTCAAATTTAATCTGCATCTAGTGATGCTTAATGCACTCATAAATTTTTGCATAGACAAAGCCCACATTTGAAAATAATTATGCCTTTACACACGTTGAGTATAGGGTCCAAAAAGTGGTAAGAACTCAAATGTGTATTAAATAACTCAAGATGAAAAATTCAAATCATGAGGCCCTAAGTTTTTTTTCTCTATACAATAGCAAATACACCAATTCCAAATATTCTGATATTTAATATCTTGTAAACAACTTTTTATCTTGCTACCCCAATAAACATTTTTCAACAATTATTTCCTTTCTTAACAGAACTGATTTTCTTAATAAATATACCCATAATAGAGACTTTACAATTCTTGTTTATTTTATTTTATTTTATTTTTTTTAGATAGGGTCCCATGTTGTCACCCAAGCTGGAGTGCAGTGGTTTGATCACAGTTCACTGCTGCCTTGAACTCCTGGGCTCAAGTGATTCTCCTGCCTCAGCCTCCCGAGTAGCTAGGACTACAGGTGCACACCACTGTACCAGGCTAATTTTAAAAATTCTGTAGACATAGGATCTCAGTATGTTTCCCAGGCTGGTTTCAAATTCCTGGCCTCAAGTGATCCTCCCACCTTGATCTCCCAAAATACTGAGATTACAACAGGTATAATCCATTTTGAGATGTATGTGTGTGCTATTTCCTTTGTTGAAAACAAAAAACAATAAAAGACCATACAAATGAGAGGACCCAATAAAGTCTACTGGTAGAATACATGGATGCTAACAGGCTTAGTTACTTTGAAATTTGAAATGTTAACTAAATGCTTCTCTCTCACGCCAGTGTAGAAACCTGTGATCAAAGTTGACTTCTCTGGCTTATGCCACATACAATAGGTTTATCATCACTAGATCAATCTCCAAAGTCCACTGTTACTGACCAGGCAGGCAGGAAGACAGGCCAATCTGCATTAATTTATTCTACTAAAAGACAGGGCTTTCTTAAATGTGTAACTCCTACGCCCACTCCCCCAACACATACATGCCAAACACGACTCAAGAGAGAGATAAAATAATAAAACCAGATAACATTGACTAACATTTTTAGTACATTTACCAAATACAATGAGAAAAGTCAGCTGTTCTACAACACACCAAATAAATTACAAGATTAAAATGTTCTATGGATAATCTCTAATTTTACTTCTGTGTAGCAATAAATGATCTTAATCATAGTCAGATCAGTTCATTTCTCTAAGAAAGCAATCTGGATGAGAGAAAGGCCAAGAAAACTGTATACTAGGAACTAATTCATTTCTATCTGTGCCACTGATTCTCTCAATAACACTGGATAATAACTTAAGTCTAGCTATGACTGTAAATTAAATATGGATGATACACTCTCTGCTCACATGTGTAACAGGATGATATGAAAATAGCAGAAATAAACAAAAGCATGAAAACACCCAATTCTTTGGAAATAAACACTGTCAAGTGCGGTATTTATTTCTCAATTCTAAACACCACAATTTATAACATTAATTATGTCTTTAATGGTTGGAGGGGAAGCCTTTCCAGAAACGCATATACACATAAACATATACACAAACTCATATACAGCCTTTTAAAAAATGTCTGAGATACCAGGAAAGCTTTATTAAGTCAGTCCTTAGCATTCTATAATTTCTAAGTCCAAATGTATCATCATGGAATTAGTAGAAATTGAAGCCCAGAGAGGCAAAGTAACTTTTTCCGATTACACAGCTAAGGACTACCTGGGACTGGAAACTAAATTTCCTGGCTCCTATGCAGTGATGATTCCATCACACCACAAAGAATGTCTGTTTTCTTTACAGTTCCTCTACTTCCCAGACCTATTCCCTTAGGTAAAAAAAAGATAATTCACTGAAAGATTCCAGGGGAGGGGGAACTTACGTCTATTTTCTTACTTTTAGCACTTTTTAACTTTTATTTATTTATTTAGAGACAGAGTCTCGCTCTGTTGCCGGGCTGGAGTGCAGTGGTGCTCACTGCAACCTCCACCTCCCAGGTTCCAGTGATTCTCCTGCCTCAGCTTCCCGAGTAGCTGGGACTACAGGCACCCACTACCATGCCTGGCTAATTTTTGTATTTTTAGTAGAGATGGAGTTTCACCAAGTTGGCCAGACTAGTCTCGAACTCCTGACCTCAAGTGATCCACCCGCCTCGGCTTCCCAAAGTGCTGGGATTACAAGCATGAGTCACTGAACCTCGCCTGCACTTTTGTACTTTTTGAACTTTTTAAAACAAGCATGTTAATTTAATAAAAGAAAACATAAAAACTGAAAAAACAAGTCTCAAGACAAACTTGTGAAAGGCCAGTTCATGCTTATACTATACCTGAAAATAATACCACGTACTGTTTTACCATTTGCATCTTCAGGAGATACTTATTTTTGAGAAACGTCATTTCTAAACCCCTTTAATGTATTCACTCCACTAATTCTAGATTTAAAACCTATCCTATCAAGTCAGACATGACTGTCTAAGGTCAGGTTATGGTGAAGGTTCAGCCTTTAACCATGCAATAACTTTCCTTTTGACTTGCTAGTCAACTGAAATGCCAATGTAAGTCACAGGAAAAGTACATATGAATTTGTTTGTTTTCTATCCTAGAAAGTTTCAGATTTTTTGCCTAAAACATTACCTCCATCCTGGCTACTATAATCCCTCTTTTCAAAGAACCAAACAAAACAAAATGCAAACAATACTCACATCCAATTACAAAACCAGGAAATAACTACCAGTAACATTTGTTATGTATTCCTCCACACATTTACACACACACACACACCTTTGCATAAAAATGGAATTGGACAAATGGCAAGATGGCTGATGAGAAGCAGCTGTGGTCTGTGGCACTCACAGAGAGGCATGAAAAGGGGTGAATGAATCCAACACCTTCAAATGAAATATTCAGGTTCTTACACTGGGACTGAATAGGCAAAAAGCACAGAGAGCAAGGAGAAGGTGCGGGGGGGGCTATGGCCCATCCAGGAGCCACGTGGAGCAAAAGGAACTCCCATCCCCAGCCAGGGAAGGCAGTGAGTGAGTGTGCAATCCGCTCAGGAAGCCAGGCTTCTCCGATGGATCTTTGCAACATGTGGAGCAGGAGATCCCCTTGTGAACCCATTCCACCAGGATCTTGGGTCTGATACACAGAGCTGTGTGGAGGCGCGGCAAAACAGCAGCTCAGGCGCACACAGAGACCCAGGAATTTTGCATACTCCTGCCACGGGATCCCTGCCAAGGCATAAAATCCATCCATATACATCCCTAGGAAGGGGTCTGAATACAGGGAGCCAAGCAGCATGGCTCGGCAGGCCCCATTTCCATCGCACCTCACAGACTTGGAATCCCAGCTAGCCAACAGCAGAGGGCTGAAGTCCGCCTGAGACAAGACCAAGTTCCAGGGGGAGGGGCGGTCACCATCTCTGCAATTCAGGGGAAATAGCCAATCCAGCCTGCCAGCTGTGAAGAGTGGGCACAGCCCAGAGGAGGAGGGGCCGCCCACAGCACAGTGCAGTGGCCTTGCCAGATAAGGGGGCCAGACCGCTTCTTTAACCAGACGGACCCACTCCAAACTGAGTAGGACTTACCATGCAGGGTCAGAGATCTGATCTCTCGCTGGGAGGGAGCTGGGGGTAGCGGGGAGGGGCGGCTGATATCTCTGTGGTTTCTGGGGACTCAGTTGTTCCAGCCTGTCCGTTGTGGAGAGTGCAGATCACCCAGCCAGGAGCCCCGCCCCCGCCCCCCACAAGGCATAGTGCAGCCGCCTTGCCAGATTGTAGCCAGACTGTTTATTTGACAGGCCCCGACCCACTCCTGCAGACAGAGATCTGATATCTCCATGGGAGGGAGCTCCCCAGGGGAGGGCCAGCGGCCATCTCTGTGCTTCCGTTAAATCAGCCATTCCAGCTTGCTGGCTATGGAGAATAAAGGTGGTACAGAGGAAAAAACCCCAGTGCAACACACCTGCTCCACCAAGAAGCAACCAGACTGTTTCACTGGGTGGGTCCCTGATCCCATCCCTCCTGACTGGGTGAGATCTTCCAGTGCGGGTCGCCAGCC